TAGAATATGTAGATAATATTAGTCCATTAATAGATCTCAGAAGTTATTCGTAATGTAATATTCGCTAGGATATAACAGGTAACACCATATATTTATGAGGTTTTAGGAAATTCGGGTGATGAACAATGGTGTAATCGAGTATGTGTGTTTACTCATGCTCAGGACTCTTCATCTTGGTGTGTTAATGTTAACACTGTAACTTAATCCCTATGTCCGTTGGTTCAAACTCTTAATAAGTAACATACTGAGCTACTGAGTCGACAGAGTAGCTAGCCAGTTCAGTGAAGATAAATTTAATTTATTTAACCACAGTAACACTTTTACTATTCTATTCGGCTAACTTTTTATTTCCTGTTTATTGTGATTATAACTAGACTGAATCTTTTTTTAACATAAAATAAATCTGTAATCTCTTCATAGATTTAACCATTTAAACAATTACATTTCCTTATGCCACTTTCAACTATTGTTATTATTATCATCATTATTTTGTTTACTTTACCACTGTGTTGGGGTAATCACTATGAATTTAATTATTTTGTTTCTCTTCATCATAATTTGTACATGGTTATTGTATATGATCATGATATGGTCTCTCTTCTCTCTATCCTATTTTATTTGACTATAAAGTGAATGTAAGAATATAAAAAGTAAGTCAGTAAGTCAGTCAGCTACAACATGAGACCAGGCACATATATGCATCGGTCCAAGTTGCCATACCTCATTAACATAACAAGATGAACACCGGATTCATATAACGATGTAACCGTCGGTTGAAGAGCGGTAAGACTAAAAGCAACAAACTCAAGGTCCGAAGGCGAAGTCGTACTGCTGACTGTACAGAGGTGTGAGAGCAGTAGGGTGTTTCCTCCAGACAACCAACATGACAGCGATGCTACCTTCTCACAAGGAGGGATGGAGTTAGAATAGGTCGACCCTTAAAATGAACACACCTATTTTTCCACGGATATCCGTATCTGGTGGTAGGGTCTCAACAAATACGGAGCTAACACGAACATTACTCATTAAAGGTTGTGTGTGACCGACCTCAAGCAATTGTCCTTTTGTCACTGTGGTCACCCTCTCAGTTCACTAAGACCAACCTTAACCCAATCTCCATTTCAGGTACCTCCAGAAGAACTAGGAATTGATAACTGCCCTCATACTTCTAACAGCACTCAAGACCACTGTATTCATAATCAACCTCTCTCTTAAATTCATATTATTCCTCCTACATCGACTTTCAACTCTAAACTTCCTTTTTCGACTTCTTCCTTAAGCGTCATCATAGTCAACGATTCTAGTGTTCAAAACACTGTCCCAGGTTAACTGAAACCTCACTCCAAACTACACATTAAAGCCTTCAACGTATGCACCCTATGTCAAATTGGTCAGCAGACTTCCTTGGCTAGAACCCTAGAATCTCGTACCATTGATATATGCTGTGTCTCTGAAATACGCATACAGGATCCCAGTGTGTTCATTCACTTGACTTCACCTGGGCAAAACGGAGAGCCAACGAGATACACTCTCCGTGTATCTGGTGACCCGATGTCCAGTCCTCGTGGACTGGCAGGTGTGGGAATAGCATAAAAAGTAATTACAATACGACATTATCAATTTAGCGTCTAAAAAAATCACTTACATTTTATCAATTTTGTGCAAAATTTTACGAGAATTCAAGGTAACATCGTATCAGTGTCCAACCGCTGAGTGATAATACGATCATTAACATTTATAGATACATACTCTTGTAAGCATGGTGGGTTAGATTTTAACAGAATATTTACATAATTGGTTGTATTTAAGATTTGATAATAGAATAAAGATCTATTTTGTATGCAAAATTCATTTATGTGGCTAATTACTCCAAATTTTCAGGATTTTTTGTTTATTGAGTGAACGAAAACGAAAGAAATTTCATGCCCCCATAGTTCAAGCAACCAGTGAGAGACCTTAAGGAGCAATGCAGATTAGAGTTATGGACATTAAAAATTCGATTTGGGTGATACAATCTTAGTAAACCATGCTTTATGACACTAATAATACGATCTGAATAAGAAATTTTCATCAATTCAAATGAATTAGGACTAACGGCAGATGTATGATTAGGATTAGTACATCCGATCATTTTGATCACATTCTTAACATTCTTAATGATACAATATACATTCGCAATATCTTTAAACGTAAGACTCGATTCTACTCAAGTTTCTGTTACGAAAGCCTGAGTCTGACGATGATTGCAACCCGCATACAAAGATAAAACACTTAAATTGTTCGTCAGGAAATGAACGTGACATAAAAACTCTCTCATTATTTATTAATAAATATTGTATATGAAACAAAATCATCTTCAGGTCTATTAACAGTTCCAAAACAAGTCTAATTAGTAAACATTTCTGTTAATTTTTATACAGTAGAATCAAAAGAAAATACGTTGGAATTCTGGTAAGATAAGGTTCAAATAATTTTCTTGTTTGGCTGCACCAAGCTTACGAAGTAGAATTCTCACTTTTGAAGAGTCATTATAATGAGAAAACTCAAATGGGAAAGTGTCTTCATACTTCTCGAACCATGATTCACATGTGACACGGCATCAGAATCAAAATGAAACTCGCTCATTCAGTTGATCAGTGGTTCGGTAATTCAGCCACTTGATTCAGACACTTGTACTGAGTTTTCTCAAATTGAAAACTTTTGTTTGATCATTTCGATCATTTTCAATTGTGATGCTTGAAATTCTTTTTGCTGCAGCTGCAAGATTGATTTAATCTGATTTGCTAAAACTGATACTTGGAATTTTCTATTTTTGCTTGGGTTTGATAAAAATAACGTCATCAGAAACTGTTATGATGGGTGGTGTCTGAAACCTGGTACTGATACACGATGTGCTACGCGTTAACCCCTCAACTGGCTACTTGAGCGAGAACACAAGAGTTGACGAGAAAGTATATTGGGCTACCGAATAAAATGCACAAATCCTCATTTATATATACACAACTCTACGACTTAAGAAATCAATCCATTTTTTAGCTAATAAATCCACCTATCCTTGATGTCATTCCTTACTGCCGTCGAAGGAATTTCTCACTTGGCTAATTCTGATTGGCTTACCATATCAGAGATACCTGACAGGTATCCCAACCTTAGTTGTTCGATAAATTCTGTTTAACCCAGAGGATCACAGAAAGATGACATAAGTTGTCAGTCAGTGATCAGTCATTATAAATATCGCAGCCCTATATGAGGTCAGTCAAGACCCTGTAATAACATCTTAATGTTACATAGGTTGTTTCAAAATTGTAGATGTAGCTTGTTTCAATTCATATTATGCAGTTTTAACTTCTGAACATTGTTGAACCAGCAGATAATCCACTAAATTTAGTCATTAAATAAGATAATATTCTAGATCAAATGAAATTATTTTCCCTATTGTGTTTATCAATCCGACTGCTTTAAAACGATGAATATCATGTTTTCTATTATATAATCACTATAAAATAAAGTTACTATACAGTACAGGGAAAAATACCAGGTTTTTAAAGAAGACTAGATTATCACAGTAACCGTAAAGGTGAATCAATTATTTTCCCAAACAAATTAGTTGAGCTAACGCAAAAATCTCAAAATTATTTTGAATATTAATGAAAGTAATGGACTAATCTTCATTAGATTCCACAATGTTAACCTTCGTAGATCATTCTTAAAGTGGTGATTGAAGGTAGTCGACAGGAAACCCTGAACTTAGGTTTCGTACTGTTTTGTCGTTAGGGTTCAATCTGCACTAAGAAGGACCTGATAAAAATGACATTGATCACCAACCAGTGATCAGTCAATTGTGAATGAATCTCAGTCGTACGGGAGATCAATCACGGCCCGGATAGCCCAGCAGTAACGTCTCTGATTGTGAAGCTGTGTGATATGGGATCGAATCCGTCAGGGAACATCAGTTACTTCAATATTACAGGTACATCTTGCTGACGATTGCCAAATAGCACGAAACCCGGGTACAAAGTTTCGTGTTGATTACCTCCAACCACCATCTTAGCTCAACATAATGCACGTAATGTAAAGTCACTCAGACTAATGGTCATACTTCAACTTGGTCGATATCATTCGATCTTTTCTAAGAAGGACCTGATTCACATGACATTGATCATCACCCAGTGATCAATCAATTCTAAAGTAAATCATTCTTATTTATAGCGTAGATACTTAATCTAGGTATGGTCGGTTTGACAGTAGAACTAAAAATTGACTAATTTTTTTTATACATTATGCATATATTAGCAACATTAATATTAAATAAAATGATTAGATCAAGTTATTTGACTTGTCTGGTTGATTGATTAATGGTTTCAATTTTAATTCATTAAAGTAATAATGGATAGTTGTATATAGTGATCAATATAAATGGTGTTTGTTTTAATATGAAGTTTGATATGGACTCTTAAGAGTGTCAAATGTATTTCGAGTTTTTATATTAGAAGTTCTTTTTGATCATCCACTTATTTATTTACTTATTTACTCCTGTCACCGGTGATGGAGAAGCGAAGGCCATCCGTAAAGATTCTCTATCAAACTTCGTCCTGGTACCTCTATAACAACTTTTAAAAAATTTAAAAACTACAATTATATAACTATATAATATACCCTTGTGGACCAGGGTAATTTTACATTGGTTTTCAGGAGAACCAGACACCACCCGGACTTTCACGTGACAACCCAAACAACAGTACAGCTCAACCCCGTTTAGCAGGAGAACCAGACACCATATAGGCTTTAACGCTATAATCTGATTAGTACAGCTCAATCTTGTGGCGCAACCACACAGGTACCAAGCACCCAGGTGGACCATTATATAACTCTTGAATTCATTGATGAGAACGGCAAACGAACTGATATATACACTTGATGATGTTTGATTTATTTCTGTAAATACTTTTATCAGTTTTTAAACTAATCATTCTTTAATTATTAATTTTCTATCTTTTTAGATATTTGCCCTGGTATTTTTAGCAGTGTTAGAAAGTGGTATTCTTTATACTATACTATCACAATGGTTAAGACATTTAGAAGTTGGTGTAACATTTGCTGTTCAAATGTTTCAACCTGGCTTAGAAGATAAAACAGTTATGGCAAATATACAAGAAGCTCTTCATTGTTGTGGTAGAGGATGTAAGTTTTATCTTGTGATTTAATTTAACATAATATAGATAAGTGGTTTTTGTAAACTGAAATTCTAGGCATTCATTCTAGGTAACTGGATTGTATCAATAGCTTAGAAACTCATAGTAAACGTGAAGGTCGAATACATAAAACTGTAATTAATAAATCGGTTACAATCACTTGATTTGGTCAGTATTGAGAGATCTGCAAATGTAAAACTTTGCTGAAAGTGATTAAAATTAGCATTATAATCTACTGAGGTTACCATAATAAAATTCCTTATTTATGAATTGTCGGACATTAAGATTATTATAGCCCTTATAGTTTGATTAAGCCATATAATCTCGTAAAGACTTTATTACGAAGTGATTTCATTTTAATATGTTCTTCGTTGGAGTATCAGTTGTCAATCTATCAAGTCACGTGTTCGATTCAAACTATTTATCATCAGTACTTTCGACTTCAACTTATACAGATTAGGAAATTTTATTACAAAACATTTCGTCACTAATTTCTATGATAACATACTTGTACAGTGTAAGTTCTAACCTTGAACTATAAATAATTTTCAGTTATTTACTTGTTTAATTACTTACATACACCTATTATCCATCATGGAGAACTTGTGACGCCCTTAATTTTGTCGTCATTTCGATCAAACGATGTTGTCGAAATGGCTCTCCAATTTATTAGCCCGGAATCTGACTCCAAGGAGATCGTAATTAATGGTTGTTATTGGAATATATATGTCACCTATCTTCGTATATAATCATCGACTTAAATCACGTTAGTCAATAACAGATTTAGATAAGGTATATGGGCTTAACATAATAACCGATACTACAAACTATAGGCCGCCTATCAGGATTCTCCGTCAAATTCTTTTTTTGAGAAATACTTTCCAGTTGTTTCTAAGTTATTATTGATTATTTTGAAAGCAGACATCAAAAACATAAATAACAATTGAAAATCACTGGAAAGGATGTTCCGTTTACGGATATCAAAATTAATGAAATCTATCATGATTATGTAAAGTCATTAAAAGATCAGATGATAAAAAAGAACTAATATCGGAGGAATTAGTTGATAACTGAACGAATTGTGATATCTAGTTATATAATCGATAAAATGTCCAATATAATATGAGAGAATTGATTACATTGACTGAGTTCAGTATTAATAACAGTACTGTATTCATAAAGAGTATGTTACAGTTAATCAATAAATAGAGAACAGCAATTTTGTTAGAAATATATTTGTGAACAGAGAGAGATTCGGTAATAAATCAACAGTAACTCACTTAGATACTGACTATTATGATGACAAAAATAAGGGAAATGGTTGTTAAAATGGCAAGACCATAATTTGTAGACGAACCAATCTGGTATAAAATAATAGGTATCGGATTTGGATGCGAAATTCGCTCATCCATTTGAGGAAATAGAGTTTTGGCATTATAACTGATGCTAATTCGTAATGAAAATTTCAAATCTTATTCCTAACCTTAAACATCAACTGTAATTCATAATTCTAATTCCTCACACAGGTTTATAATGTTTATTTGGTCCTAGATATTAGGTGGACATTCTCAAGGTCAGTCTAGCATCGCTCAAAGGTTATACCGTAAACATTTCTTATGAATACAAAAGATAGGTCTATTCAAATGGATACCAATGACTTCAGCTGTATGTAAAAGATATATACTTAAACAATGGGTTATATTTAGTAGAATTTAGTGAATGATTTAAAATGTATTGTTTACGATTACTTAATGCTCCATATTTATTTTATTATTGATAAAATAGTAAGTATGCTGGTGATTAACGAAATTCTCCTAGCTTCTGTACAATAAAACCTTTCTGATATTAATCAACGTATGCTCACTAGTGACTGGCTTCATGAGGTATATCCTGGAGTTCTAGGGAGAAGCAGTGACCAGTGGAATTCAAACAGGCCTGTTGTGAGATAGTAACTCACTGATGACAATGGTGGATGTGTTGCTCAATTTCGTGGATTAATTGAAGTTATACTTTAATGGGGTTGGATATCGACCGACTCAGTTGTCTAGATTTTAAGCACTCGCGCACGAGATCAATAGGTCCTGGATTTAAATCTTGCGGGGGGGGGTACGGATTCGTGAATGCGCACTGCTGAGGAGTCCCACAATAGGGAGAAACGACCGTCCAATACTTCTAGGTTTTCCATAGTGGTCTAGCTTCTATTGACTCATGATCTCAACCATTGAAATTATTACAATATCCACAAAATCCCTTCTAATATTAAGTTGTTGTTGTTGTTGTATATATGTTTTGTATCATTTCATCAATGTTCATTTTTCTCTTTCCTAATTCTGTTTTTTTTTTCTTAAAAAAAAAAATAATCAATAGCTTATGGCGATTATGATGTGGCTAATGAAGCAATACCTAAACAACATGTACCATATTCATGTTGTGATTTACAAACTTATACAAATGAACATTGTAATAATGCATCAAAATTAACAAAACCTAAATTTAATTCATTCACAATAAAATCATCTGAATTAAATAATTTATTTTATGTTATTCCATATTATTTAGCTTATCCTGAAGGTTGTGTAAATCGTTTAAAAAATTTATTTTTACCAATAGTTATTGGATGTTTTTGTCTTTTAATATCTGTAAATATTATTGCAATATTTATCAATTGTTTTTATGTACAAAAAGCTGCTGATGAAGAAGAATATGAACAAAATTGGCTTGATTCACAAAAATTTTTAAAAGAAACTAAAGGTTAGTTGCTATGGAAATATAAAAAGATTATTACATGTTATGTTAGTGATTAAATAATTATAATAGTTTATGTCATTGTTTAAGACAGTTACTTTTAATGGAGCATAAGCTGCCGACTAGCATTCTACAACTCACTCTGGTCTGGGCCTTCCTTTCTAGTTCAGTTCAATTTTTGTTCATTCTTCTTATGTCTGTCTCCATTTCTCGACGTAATGTGTTCTTTGATCTTCCTCTCCTCCTAGCTTAGCCTTGAGGATTCCATGTGAAGATTTGACTTATGAAACAGTTGGGTGCTTTCCTCAATATGTGTCCTATCCACTTCCAGTGCTTATTCCTGATTTCTTCCTCCACTGAGATCTGGTTTGTTCTCTCCTACTGCTGATGTTTAAGACAGTTACCTGTTTCATATCACTGATGAGCATTGCTAAGGAGTCCTATATAATGACAAAACGGATGTCGCGTGTTACCATGTTTTCAATAATGATCGACACGTGAAAATTCAACTGTGAAACTTACAATAGTATTGATTAATAACCAAAAGCATAATAGGTTTGTAAATCAGTTAAGAAGGTGTTGAAAGGATAGTGTCATGAAATGATTTATCTCTCATATTTGTCTTCAAACGCATTTATTGGAGTTCAGCTTGATTTTTCAAATCATTTGCGTATCCGGTGTCAGGTGGTCATTGTTAGGAAAAGGAGCTGATATATTTTCAGATTGCATAGTTTATTCAGTTTTCATAGGAGAACCTAGTTTATTGAACTGGGATTAATGTAGCTTATGTGGTCTAACGAGACTACTATATCATACTAAGAAAAGCTGTTGGTTTTCCAATTCTTGTTATCTAAACGAAACACCTTTCAATATCCTTTTGCTTGACAGGATGATTGGAATGTCAACTTTAAGAAGAGGTAAAATGGTTTATTCAGTAATAGACCACACTAATTCAGTTACAAAGTTGGTAGTATATATGCACAGAGTGAAATCCAATGAAACATGCTTATAATTATTCATGGTACAATGTTTTAAGGCATTTCAAGGAGATTCTCACAGTTTAAAGATAACTATCATAATGAACTGAAATCATATTAACGACTGTTTTACTCTATTTTTTGGTGTTATTTTATTATTTATTTATTTAAACACATAAACATTGGTACAAGGAGGCACCAAATAGATATGCGCCACATAAATCATTCGGTTTATGTGAGGACTGTGATACTGCCCGGGTGCCCAGACCGAAGCAGGTGGTTTTCTTAGGGGGGCATTCCTCGATCCTTTGACCTGAAGGTCTGATCCACAAGGCAGTGGAACATCGTGAGGAGATGCAGTCCCATGGTAGCCGGTGACCGAAAATTGGTTCATACGCAATTTGTTCCTGCAGGATACTGGAGCCCATGTGCACCGTTCGTTTAGAATCCGGTTAAAACGCTGGACATTCGCCTTTCATCCTCTCAATTTCGAAAACGACACCTCCGCCACGAGAAGGCAGTGAGTAGGACTCCCCTAGGAGAGTCTTTATACGCATGGCCGTGTGATGGCATTTCGAGAGGGGGGTGGGCCCACCCCAATCTCAGCCATACCAGGGCATTTGGGGGCTTTGATGTTAGTGTTATTTAGTTCATAACACTATGTCCAATGTGAATAAGATGATGAGTGATTGGACTAATGAATTTAACTAGAATTTAATCTTTTATTTCTCCTATAAATGTCTTGAATTTACTCAGAAATACAAAAAAATAACCCTTATTTTCATGTTTCTAACGTGTAATTTGATAATATAAATGTTAACTGACGAAAACAATCGAAGGTATTTTGAGTCTAATGTATCCCTATTTTTAGACTGTAAAGTATAAAACCGAATAAAAGTTGACGGCTTTCTTTCTGATGTTACTAACTTTAATTTAGTTTGATTGAATGTACATTTTAGTATATTAAAATATGAATTAAATTATTAAAAATTAAAGCGATTATAACAACCAAAAGATATTGTATAGGGTACTTTACACTGTCATATTAACAACATTCTATTTTTGATGGAGGTCTGTTCTCTGACCTGGATGATTTGGTCGTGGAGGTTTCATCGTTCTTCTGAATGACATCATCAGCACAAAATTCAGGTAAAAGATATAAGTGTTCTCATTTCTCCACATGTGGTTCACAGCTTGTCCTGTACACCTCTATGTTGATTGTTTCATGTTGATCTTTACTTGAATTAAACTATGACAGGTTTAAGGTCAACAAGAATCAATCAACATCCAAGTGTACAGGACAAGCTTTGAACCGTATGTGAAGAAATTCGAATACTTCACTTTTACCTGAAGTTTGTACTGACGATATTGTTCAGAAGAACGATGAATGCTCCATGACCAAACCGTCTAGCTCAGAGAACAAAACTCCATCAAAATTAACCACCGGTGCTACAAATCTTCTTCACTATCTCAACATTATTCTATAATAGTGTTCTACTATTCCGTAGAATTCACTTGTCTCACAGAATTTATTTTACAGTTTATCACAGAATATTTTTTATAGTTACCATGTTTTTTTTTAAATAAAATCTAATTCAATACTTTTCTTTTACAGAAGCATTTTGTTTAAAACCACAAAAACAAGTAGAAATTTCATGTGATGCTTCAATTTCAAATGTAGATGATCTAAGTGTATTTCAAGGACAATTATCACGTCGACGAACTAGTTCTATACCAAGTAATATGGATTAAATCAATAAATTATTGATTTTATTCCGGGTTTTTTTTTTCCTTTTGTTATTTTATCTGTATATTTCACAAAGTGTTTGTTTTTCGTTTTCATTTTTCATGTAGTCAACTATTTCCCAATAGTTACTTCTTTATAAAAAAAGAAAAGATCAACATTTTGTTTTTGTGTGTCTGTGATTAAACTATGATATAATAATTCTGTGAGAACAACTGTCATGATTCTTCTGTTTGTCTCTAATAATTAAACTTTATTGTATCTATGATTGTTCATTGTATGATAACACAATGATATCGATTCATTTAATCATCTAACTATATACATATTATGGTTTGTAATAATAATTTTGTAGATTTTTCATTTAAATCTACAGAAAACCCATACCTCATCGAACTACAAACGTTTATTTAAGTTCATTTCAAAGTGTATGATATTTTATATTTATAGCTTTTCTGATATGGTTACATAGTGTTTTCGTTTAGCGAGTTAGTTTTCTACGGGAAGCAAATATAAAAAGGATGAATAACAACTGGAAAGAGCTGGAAAGGATTACCCAGGATAGGGTTGAATGAAGAATGCTGATGAGCGGTCTATGCTCTTACACGAGGAGTAATAGGCGTAATAATAATAAATAATCATATGGTTGCTTGGTTAGCTGATCGATTGGTCGGTCGGTTGATTGGTTGGTTTGTCAATGACATTTACTTGTTTATAATATACAAGGAAAACATGTTCAATCATAAACTATAATTCTATTTCGTATTCATTTTGAAAAAAAAAAAACGACATTCAATTGTTTGTTTTTCTAAACATTTACCATGTGAACATTCAATGTCCAAATGAATAAGATTAACATTTTTGTTTATTTGGTTCAATTTTAATACACTGATGAAAAGGACAGCTAATTATATATATATATATATATATATATATATATATATATATATATATATATATATATATATATATATATATATATATATATATATATATATATATATATATACCATAGATGAATAGTTGGCGGCCTGCTTGAACATCTGGGCTATCTGTTCCTGCCATCAAGATATTTCAACAAGTTATCTAATTTTGTTTGTTTGAATACATCATCATATCTATTAATCGCATAACTTATTCAAGTACCTTTTTTTGAAAAGTGAATAATCTTTCGTTGTAAAAGATACAAATAGCCCAATAAGAGATATTTTGATCACTGGCAATATACAGTGAAAAAAAAATGTACATGATTCACATGTTCATTTACTAGGCTGCTAGCATCTAACTGTTGATCACTCAATATTTATCGTCAGGATCAATCAAGAAGAAAGAAACGGAAAATTGTTGAACTAATTTGTTATCAGAAGGGGTTTGTGGAGATTTTAGAAATTTCACAGATTGAAAACATGAGTCAATTGAAGCTAGACCATCATGGAAAACATGGAAGCACTGGACGGCCGTTTTGTTCAAGTATGGGACTCCTCAGCAGTGCGCATCCACGATTCCGCACCCCGCGAGATTCGAACACAAGACCTTTCAGCCTCGCACCAGGCACTTAAGCAACTAGACCACTGAACCGGCATTCAACGGTGTTAATGTCTAACCTCAACCAATCCACGAAGTTGCGTCACCGTACACCATTGTCTTCAGTGAGCTGATATCTCACAATAGACCTGGTTTTCCATGATGGGTTTAGCTTCAATCGACTCGTGATTTCAATCTGGGGACTAATTTGTGTTGAGAATTCTATATTATACCAAAGATATAATATTCAGTAAAGCTAATAATAACGAATAAATAAATAAATACACTACATTCCTTTCCAATATCTCATTCTACATGACTTTAACACAATTCAGCACAAGAATACTTAACTAGTTTGACTACAACATAAATATATTTCCCCACTGGAAACCGACAAAAATCCAATAATAATAATAAACATAGGAGAATATATAACTCATCTAACACTGATCAGACGCCTGTCAGACAAGTCTGACTGAACAAACAACCAATCATTATGATCCGCGCCCACGTATCAGAAATATAAAAGAAAATAATAACATCAGTCTAAATCTTTGAATAATTAATGATCTTTCGTGAATATTTTATTTTATTATCATAGAAAATAACAGACAAGCTGTTTTATTCATATTGTGAAATAGATATTTGCTTTAACAGAGACAATACGTGAAATATTTAGCTGATATACACTTAGTATCCTTTATGAATTTAAATAAAGTCAGAACAGACATGAATTCAGAATAATATAAATTCATTATATTTCGTGGTATCCCATCCTCTGCTTGCAATCATATATAAATTGGAAGTTTAAATTGAGGTAAATAAACTGTGAAACAAATGACGTAGATGGTGGTCTACGGTGGTTTAGCTTTAATAGACTCATGAATTCAACTATTAAATTAATAAAAATTAGGGTTCATTTCCTTACATTCATCGGAAAAGAGCTTACTTACTTACGCGTGTTACTCCTCATAGAGGAGCATAGGCCGGTCACCAAAACTCTCCATCCAACCTTCTCCAAATTCATTCTTTCTAGCCATTTCCAGTTGTTATTCATCTTTTTTATATCCGCTTCTGTTATCCAACGCAATGTCTTCTTTGGCTTTCCTCATTTTTGCTTCCTTCAGGATTCCAAATTAGAGCTTGCCTCGTGAGGCAGTTTGATGATTTCTGTAATGTATGTCCTATCCATTTTGATCGTCTTTTCCTAATTTCTTCTTCAGCTGGAAGTTGGTTTGTTCTCTCTCACAGAAGGCTATTGCTGATGGTATCCGGTCAATGGATGTTGAGTATCTTGCGTAGACAACTATTTACAAATACTTGCACCTTCTTGATGATTGTTGTTGTAGTTCTCCAAGTTTCAGCTCCATACAGTAGAACTGCCTTGACATTGGTATTGAATATTCTCACTTTGATATTGGTTGAAAGTTGTTTTGAGTTCCATGTGTTCTACAATTGTAGGAATGCGGCCCTTGCTTTTTCAATCCTCGCTTTTACGTCTGCATCCGATCCTCCTTGTTCATCGATGATGCTTCCCATGTATGCGAAGGATTCTACATCTTCCAGAGTTTCACCATCAAGAGTGATTGGATTGCTGTTCTCCGTGTTGAATTTGAGGACCTTGGCATTCCCTTTGTGTATGCTGAGGCCTACTGATGCAGAGACTGCTGCTACACTGGCTGTCTTTGTCTGCATCTGTTCATGTGTATGCGATTGGAAGGCTAGGTCATCTGCGAAGTCCAAATCGTCTAATTGATTTCGAGCTGTCCATTGTATTCCGTGTTTTCCTTCAGATGTCGAGGTCTTCATAATCCAGTCGACCACCAGTAGAAATAGTAAGAGAGAGTAAACAGCCTTGAGATGGTGGAGAAGATTTGTAGCTCAGGTGGATGATTTTGGTGGAGTTTTGTTCTCTGAGCTGGATGGCTTGGTCGTGGAGCTTTCATCGTTCTTCTGAACGACATCATCAGCACAAACTTCAGATAGAAGTGAAGTCTTGTTTGTAGAACATGCTGGCGAAGACACTCCTGGAGAAAATATAGTTGTTCTGCCTTTTGGCAAAATTCTCCCATTTTCGAACAACGAGAAGCGTATTACGCTCATATTATTTTGAGATGGTGGAGAAGATTTGTAGCTCAGGTGGATGATTCTGAAGTTTGTGCTGATGATGTCGTTCAGAAGAACGATGAAAGCTCCACGACCAAACCATCCAGCTCACAGAACAAAACTCCACTAAAAAGTAGACAGCCTTGTCTGACTCTGGTCCTTAATTGGATTGGATCTGTCAGCTGCCCTCCGTGCACGACTTTGCACTGTAGTCCGTCGTATGAGTTCCGGATAATATTGACAATCTTCTCAGGAACTCCATAGTGTCGTGGAAGTTTCTATAACGTTCTCCTATCTACACTGTCAAATGCCTTTTCACAATCAATGAAGTTGATGTATAGTGACGAGTTTCGCTCAACTGATTGTTCGACGATGATCCGTGGTGTCGCGATTTGGTCTGTGCACGACCGATCCTTACGGAATCCAGCTTGTTGATCTCGAAGTTAAACGTCTACTGCATCTTTCATCCAATTCAGCAAAACTCTTTCAAAGACTTTTCCTGGTACTGATAGTAGTGTGATACCTCTGTAGTTTTCACATTTGCTCAGATCTCCTTTCTTTGGAATCTTGACGAGGTGCCCTTCTTTCCAGTCCATCAACACTTGTTCCTCCACTCAAATCTTTTTGAATAGAAGGTGAGGCATATTTGTAGTTACTTCGAAGTTTGACTTCAGTGCTTCAGCTGGTATATTGTCGGGTCCTGCTGCTTTCCCGCGCTTGATTTGTTTGATGGCCATTCTGATTTTTTCCGTCTTTGGTGGATTACCAACTATAGGAAGATCTGTGTGTGCTGCCTTGATGTCCTGTGGGTTCATTGGAGCCGACCTATTCAGAAGTTCCTCGAAGTACTCCACCCATCTGTTCCGCTGTTGTTGAATTTCGGTGATTGGCTTGCCTTCTTTGTCTTTGACCGGTCTCTCTGGTTTACTATATTTCCCTGCTAGTTTATTCGTTGTATCGTGAAGCTACTTCATATTTCCTTCTCTAGCAGCTTTTTCTGCCGTCGTTGCGAGTTCTTCCACGTATTTCTTCTTGTCGGCTCTAATGCTCCTCTTCACTTGTTTGTTTGCTTCTATGTATTCAGCTTGTGCTTGGACTTTCTCTGCTAGTGTTCGGCTGTTGTTTATTGCTGCCTTCTTGTTCTTCCTTTCTTTGATCTTGTCCAGTGTTTCTGTAGAGATCCATTCCTCATGATCGTGTTTCTTTAGACCCAGAACCTCTTGATACGTTGAAGTTAATGCTTCCTTGATGCCTTTCCAGTTGTCCTCCATACTAGTTTCTTCTTCTTTCAGTAGATCTTGTAAGGCTTGGAACCTGTTGTTGAGAGCTATCTTGAATCCATTGAGTTTGTCAGTATCTCGAAAGAAGGCTGTATTGAACCTTTGTAGTGCTGTTTGTCCACTTGTCCAGTTCTTTTTTAGCTTCAGTTTTAAATTGGCCACAACTAGGTGGTGATCTGAAGCTACGTCAGCGCCTCTCCTGGTTTTCACATCTTCCATTGTCCTTCGGAATTTTTCGTTGATGTAAATATGATCTATTTGGTTCTCTGTAGTGTTATCCGGTGAGATCCATGTAGCCTTGTGTATACGCTTGTGTGGAAATATTGTGCCTCCTATGACCAATTTGTTGAATGCACATAGATTTGCAAATCTTTCTCCATTTTCGTTTCTCTGTTCCGGTCCATGTCATCCCATAATATCTTCATATCCAGTGTTGTCTATTCCGACTTTCGCATTTAGATCACCCATCAGAATAGTTAGGTCCTTCCTTGGGCATTTCTCAATGACTGACTACAGCCGCTCGTAGAATTGATCTTTAATGTTGTCGTTGCTATCATTTGTGGGTGCATAACATTGGATAATATTCATTAAGATCCCCTCCTTCTTTGTTTTGAAATGATGCTTTGATGATTCTGGATCCGTGAGATTCCCATCCTACAAGTGCATTTCGTGCTACTTTGGACAGCATAAGAACGACTCCTTGAGTGTGTGGAGCATTGTCCTCTTCGTGACCGGAGTATAGCAGCATCTCTCCCGTACCTAGCCTTTTCTGTCCAGCTTGGGTCCAGTGGGTTTCGCTGATTCCCAGTACTGACAGTTTATATCTCCTCATTTCCATTGCTATTTGACTGGTATTTCCAGTTT